ATTCATCTCGACCAATTTTCTTCTCAACCCCAAAACCCCAAAACCCCAAAACCCCATCTGACTGAAGATGAGAATTTCAGGGCAAAATAACACTATAAATATAAATATCCTTCCATCTCTCAACACATATATTAACTTAACTTTATTATCCATTGAGTACAAATATTTTACGAATTAATTTTTGAACTAGATTATCATGATCATTATCATCATTTAGAATCACTTTGGTTTTTAAGTTGATCGAAATGTGAAGAAATATCGAAAGTCTTAGATTAACCATTTGAAGAACCCTTAGCAAGCTCCACTTATTGAGGAGCGGCAACTTAATTAACTTATTGATATTCAGTAGGTTATGGAACGTATGCAGTCTAATCATAAGAAACCTAGGGATATTCATAGCCTCCGTAGTTTTGATAACTATCATAATTACCATATCCATAAGTTTGCATGGCAGTTTCAGCTGCTTATCTAACTTTATCCTGATCAAATTAACTATGAGCAGGGGCTTCATCTTCAAAGTTTCTTGGACCACCTCTGCCTCCTCTGAAGCCTCCACGGCCACCTCTAAATCCACCTCGGTCATATCCTCCTCTGCCTCTAAAGCCGCCTCTTTCATAGCCACCTCTGTTGCCATAACCACCTCTATCATTATCTCTAAAATCTCTGCCGCCTCTATCATCTCTTCTTTAGAAGTCTCTGTCATTTCTTCTAAAATCGTTTCCACCTCTTGGATGATGGTTATCAACTCTTTCTCTTGACCCACTTCTTTTGAAGTTGTCTCTTCCTCTGTTGAAATTTGAGGAAGTATGATGACTTGGAGAATTAGATCTATCTCTTCTCTGATGATGGTGATGATCGCCTCCTCTGGCATTTCTATCATATTAAAAATCTCTGCGGCCTTCAAAGTTTCCTCCACGATGATTATCATCTCTTCTGTCAAAGCCACCTCTATTGTCTGATCTTCTGTCATCTTTAGTTTAATAGGGGCGGTTAGAATCATCTCTTTCAAATGGAGGTCTTCTGGTGTCTCTATCTCTACTTCTACTTCTTGGCTATCTTCTTGGACTTCCTGACCTATTTCTGTTTTCATATTATCTAGGTCTGCTGTTATAGTTACTAGAACCCTTATCTTCAAAAGATTTTCTGCTTTAAAAGTTAGATGTAGCAGCTGGTTAGTCATATTAGTCATAATTAGAACCTATTATCTCAATGGGATTAAACTCAATTCATCAATATCAAATAAAGCAAAGTTTTAAAAATACCAAAAACATTATACATACTTCTTTATGGAGGTTCGTTTTAAGATTATCCTTGTCCATTATATTAACCAAAGTTATCAATAGGCTAATTTAGATGAGTACTATCAGAAAACAATATGATAAAGATATATAAAAATTACTTAGGAGGTGTTTGCTGTTGAAGCTATTGTTATGCCTAAGTAACAAGTTAACTAACAAATTAAGGGGGTGCTTTAAGTTCACCCAATGGTTTATTGATGAAATTTTGCAAATATTATTCCTTCTCAGGGTTAACTTTTTGGTTAAGTTAAGCACCTCCAACAGATTAGGTTGGTAAATCTTAATGGGGAATACTTTAAATTTGACTAACATCAGGAATTGGTTGTTAATACTATTACTGAGAAGTTGGCGGTACTTAATTGATATTGCTTGAATTTGGATTATCGAAATTTGATCCTTTGCTGGATACCTACCTATTTCTAGCATCACTAGCTTCCTCAATCATTCTGATTCTATCTTGCTAGTTCATTGGCTTGTTCTCAGGAGGTCTGCTAGAGAAACCCCCTCTGCTTTCATTATTGCTGTAACTTGAACTCAAAGGAGGTCTTGAAGAATGAGGTTAGTATCCCCCTTAACTTCTTCCAGAATCACCTTGAGGATATGGCTGCTTTCTAGGGTAAAAAATTAAGCAAATGCTAGTAAAATTGAGACTTACTGGTACTCTCCTTTTTCATTCTTAGTATAGTAGCCTGGTCCACCGACACCTCCTTATCTTTGATTGTCACCATCATGACGCTCCTCGAATCTTGAACCTCTGTTTTCATAATGTGGAGGGCGATCATTGTGGTAATGAGGTCGACTATCGCTTCCTTGTCTGTTGTAATCTCTATGACCACCACCATGGTAGTTATCTCTACCTCTATTATCGTACTTCATATCCTATCTGCCATGATAGCCACCGCCTTATCTATCATCTCCTCTATCATGGAAATCTCTCCTTTAGAAATGATCGCCATGATCACGATTATGATAATCTTTTTAGATATTTTGAGCGAACTATATATAATATCTATTAGACTTAATCCATTAACTTACGTTTATATGAATAGGTCTGTTTAGGATCGGTACATTGTTCATCTTTTCAAGAGCGATCTTGGCATCCTCAACATTCTTGAATTTCACGAATGCGAATCTTAATAAATAAAAGGGTTAATAAGGAATATAATGAGATTGAGCGAAATAAACTTCGAACTAATTTGAAAATCTTAAATTTGAGCTTACCCTTTGCACTTGCCAGGTTTTTCCATAGGTACATCACAAGCTTCAATCTCACCGTAAGAATCGAAAGCCTCTCTTATATCCTACTTTACCACCTCAAATGCGAGATTTCTAATATATAGTTTTCTTGGGTCTATATCTTGCTAATCAGACATTGTGTATGTATATTCTCTAATTATTTAAATCAAATAGTATAAATAAGCTATTAACAAATTTATTAATCCGAAAATTCGCGAATAACAAACTACTTTATGATTGATCAACAATTCTTTACTCTTTGAAATAGTCTAATGGGGTTTTGGGGTTTTGGGGTTTTGGGG